GTTTTAAATTCCTTTGATGTGCAAATTTTATAGAAATCTTTTAAATATTTCAACTGTTAATCCAAGCTAGAATATCAATCAAACACAAAAAATGCGCCTTAGTCACCCATGCCTCATATAACCTCCCAATTTGATTGTTTTTCTTCTCTTTATTTTTGAAATAGAAATGCAAATGGTCACGGCACCGCACTTCAGTTTTACTGACTGATACACATTTGAACATGCGGTTGCACATTAATCTGCAGCAGCACAAGGAACAAGCACATGCTAAATTATGAATATATGTCCAAATGGATAGTGTAGGGGTGTTATGTAAATTTTTATTATACAGTAATTTCTGCTACTTCCAGATGGTCCGCTCATTCAGTGCCATGAATTTTTATGATCAGGATAATATTTTTTTCGGTTGTCTGTTGTGGACATGGAAAATAGCTCACGTGCTCGCGCCTCATTATCAATTCATTTCGATCACAAATATGTTAATAGTTTTTATTCCTTTTCATTTAATTTTCCTCTTTTTAGTTGTGGCTATATGAGAACCCAAAAAAAACTCATTATCATATCAAAAAAAATGTAAGAATGGAATTTTTAATGTCATTCGGTCAATTACAGCACGAGCTCAACCCCTCAATAGCTCTCATTTCCATGTTTTTATTTGTATTAAAATTGCAAAAAAAAGAAGCCACCACACAGATGGTCAACTGATGTGGATTATGGGTATTCATGGCTATTCATTCATCAGTAAATGATGGCATGAGGAATTCATAATTACGGCTATATTCTTGCCTTTGCTTTTTATTCATCACAAATGACGAAATAAATTTCCTCGGAGTTGCTAATTGAAGAGCACCAAAAAAATGTTTAAAAATTCCTTTTGAAGCTACTTTTTTTGTGGACACAGAAAGAATGATAATCAGCAAATTTATGGCATACGACACAGCATGAAGTGCTATTTTCATAATTTTTACTTTGTAACAGGAAATGTGGTTAAAATCATCGGACAAGAATTTGCTTCCATAAATAAATGAATGCAAAGAAAAGAAGACTTTCATGATAAGAAGAAGTAAGAATGCAAAGAAGCCATGTAAAAACAAATTTTGTGGAAAGGATATCCGAGCGCTGATGTAACAAATTTGAATATTTTTTGTGAGTGAAGAAATTTGATAGGCTGTGAATGTAATTCGTTGAGAAAGTTTGATGTTGAGTTGTTTTTTTTAATGTTGTTGAATTTTAACGGATTTGTTTGATGCTGATCTTTTAGGTTTAAGCAAGTGTATTCAAAAGTTTAATAAGCAGGAAGGATAGTGATAGTTTGCAATGGATAAACACAGAGGTCGAAGCCGACATGAGTTCGCTCCGGTTCGCTAAAAAACCGATTCAAATTTGAATAGATTTTTTTCTGCTGCCACTTGTGAAGTACAACATTTTATACAAATTTACCGGTTATCGAATCGGTTTTTTAGCGAACCGGAGCAAACTCATGTCGGCTTCGACCTCTGGATAAACATAGATTTATGTTATAGTGTTTTATATCCATTAATTAATCAATCTATGACAATGAAATATGAAATTTGCTGATTTAACAGTTACTACTGAAGGTTCGAATCCTATTGAAATTTAAGCATTTGAATGCCGTAAAATTCTTAAAACTATACCAAGATTAATTTCTCACAAGGCTATTTCCCCCTCCCTTCAATTGAGAAAAATGTCAAAATTTAATGAAGACATTTTCCAAGAAATTTATCGAAGATAAAAAAAAAGTTCCCACACAAAAAAACCTCATAAAAAATGAAGAACCCTTGCTGAAATTCTATTAAAAAGAAAACATTGCGCGACCATAAAAAAACTTCAGATCCATAAAAACCAATATCACATTTTCCCGCTTCATTAAATAATTTTTGTTAAGCACACAAAAAATAAAGTTCCTCAAAAAAATAAAAATTTCCCATTGATCACGATAAGATATGTTATTTTAAGGAAGAATTTTTTATGATTGCTAATAATTTTTTTCTATCCATTAATTTCCGGTAAAGAACAAGAATTCTTTAAAATTTCGTCCGTAACGTCTCATTTGAAGTCTCCCTCTCGTTCAAAATTCAAGGAACAGAAATTTCTTGTGTCTTATGAAATGAAAAGTAATAGTCGTGAAAGGGGGAGAGTAACAGACAAGCACAAAATATTGTTTGTTGTTGCTTCCATGTTCTCTTGTGCATGGAAAAGCAGCTAAGAAAATCTCCTTAATATTAAAGTATATTTCACGGTTTTTTAATTTTATTGGATTTTTTATTTCATTTCACGCTCATGTGAGCTGCTTTGAGGATTGAATAAGAATATATGAGCAAGACGGTTTAATAGAATTATTGCCGTTTAAAAGCTGTTGCTGTAGAAAGAGTTGTGGGAAAGTATTTAATTTTGACAAGAGAAAATTGTGAGTAAATAGAAATTTTATGGATTATTATGAGGATGCGTTGATCATTTTATGGATATTAAGTGTGGTTTTCAAAATGATTATCATGGGAAAAAATTTAACGGTTTTTTAGAATTTATAAATATGAAACCACGTGGTTTTCATAAAAATTTGACTTTTACTCCTAAATTTTAGTCAGTCATCACTGATTCATCTGAAATATCAAGCACTAACTTATATCCACAATCATCTTCATTATCCAAAAGTCACAACACATTTTTTTGTAACGAACTTTTTTCAAACCACGTGTAAATCATTTTTTTCTTCCACTTCGAAAAGTTTTATGCATTTTAATCATAATTAATGTCTGTATTTAAAATTAATATCTGTACATAATTCGTCAACAACGTGGCAACGATTGAAAGCAAAGACCCCGAAGCTATTAAAATGTTTCATTCGAAAGTTGTGAATGAATTTTTTTTTTTTCCCTATTACAACATTACAAAGTAAACATAAATACACAATATTTTCTCATTCAACAGAACGGAATGCGCTTATATGAGAAAAATGGAGCCAAATTGGGCAAACAACGATCATGCACAGTCTGAGAGAGAAATGAATGAATGTAAATAAAATTAATTCCCTTTTTCATTCACGTATAATTTCACCGTAACAAATTGCATAGAAAGAAGTGAACAATATTGTAAGAACTTTTCCTTTCGGTCCACTCAAGCATGATATGCCAATGGGTAGGAACGGATGAAAAATAATATTTATTAACATTCATCCATCACTAGCCTTTAGGGGGTTTGTAAGCGCATATTTCTTAAAAGTGGATTGTTCGTTCTTTGTCTGTTTGTCTGACTTTACGCTCAATTGTCTGATCATTCGTTAGATTTTCTATGCCTTTGTCTGTTTGATTGTTTATCCATCAGATTGTGAGGTTGTCTGTTTAACCGGCTTTCTATAAGTTTGTGTATTTCAATTTTTTATTTCTATTTATCACTAGATTTGTCTAATTAGCAAATCCTCTATTCTATCGGTCTGTCGTGTGTGTGTGTCTGTCTACCGGCTGTAAAATGCGCTCAATCCATTCAATACTGACCATGCCTACACTACTTTCCTCTCATCTATCCTTTAACTTTATGTTTTTAAGGAACATCGAATGAAAAATAATTTCACTTCATTCCAGCTATGAATACATAAAAAATTAGAAACTGAAATCTTTTCCTTCTTTAGTCATTCTCATCAACCTACTTCCATGCTTCCTTCTTTTAATTTCTTTCTTTTGTTATTCAAAATTCCGATGGTTTTGAATCTTTAAGGAGACTTTCTATCTTTTTTTTTCTATTTTACATCACAGGACAAAAAAGAAAGAAGAAAAGGAAGTCTTTGGACAGATAAAAGGGAAGTGAAAATAATGAAAGCCATCAAGTCATTGGACACGATACTTCTGTAAATGAAGATGAAGGGATAGAAGGGAGAGAATGAAAACCCCTTTTATGATAATAATTTTTAATTTCTTTCACTTCGGACGGAGATGGAAACCTTTCAGTACCCAAATATACAACAGTAAGGGTCGAGAATGTCCATAATTTCCACTTTCCATCAATTCACTACGGTATTCTTGAAGCGGCAGAAACAGAAGAGAGGAAGGAAGTCAAGAGATAAAAAAAAATTAAGAGGAAAAGAAAGAAATTCTTGTCGTAGCGAGGGTAATTGGAGTACAGATAATAAGCATAAATGCTGTGGCAATTGAGTGGTTTATTGAGTTTGGATTATGCGCTTTTTTAAATAATCAGATGCTTGAAATGATTTTTGAATTTTTGACGTGACTTTTGAAATGATTTTAAAATTTTTGGAATGGTTTTTGAATTTTGGAAGTGGTTTTTGAATTTTTAAAATGGATTTTGAATTTTTGACATGGTTTTTAAAATTTTTGACATGGATTTTGAATTTTTGACATGATTTTAAATTTTTGACCTGGATTTTAAATTTTTGAAATGGATTTTGAATTTTTGACATGATTTTTGAATTTTTGGAATAGTTTTTGAATTTTGGAAGTGGTTTTTTAAATTTTTGACATGGTTTTTAAATTTTTGATATAGTTTTTGAATTTTCGACATAGTTTTTAACTTTTGATATGATTTTTGACACGAATCTTAATTCAAATAATTCCAAGACACCCCGACAAAGTTACCGTACCCGAAAAATCACCTCTCAAAAATCCAGCACAAACAAAACAGAGGAGATTATAATCCTTAATTTTTCTTACATCACTAAGCTACCGTTTTGAATATTATTAAAGAATCCCTTTGCGGCAACAATTGCTTGATTTTCTCCTTTTTATTATTCCTCCTCATCACTATGCAGTTGCGGATTATTCAACATTATTATTCTTTTTTTGTAATGAAAATTAATTGGTCTCACGACTGCATAGAAACCGAACGATGAAGCGATTATCACTTAATGACAATATTAAAGCTTTATTTCCAACTTTAATCCCAATAAATTTTTATATGCTTTAAAGCATACAGCACATCACTAAAGAGTGTATATACAATTTTTTTTAAAAAAAAATTTATCCACTCACCTGTAATTTTCGTTTGACTTAAGCATACACTATTATTGCTACGATTACTATTCGATGACGAGGATGATGATGTTGCTACAACATGCATTTTCTGCCATGACTTAATCGATGCACCACCGATGTTTCGTGACAGTGGACAAATATTTTCACATTCATTGAACAATGTATCGTGTTCATTGATGTTCGCCTGCAAATTGCTTCCATTCACAATATGCTGACGATGGTGATAGAATCTTGGCACTTCTGGGACTCTTGCTGACTCCCATTTATATTGACTATTTCCATTTGACATCGGTGATTCGTTGACGAAGTCAAAGTTCCATTTGTTCGATGCTTGTAATTGATATTTTGCCATTTCCATCTGAGCATAACTGATGCCGGAGGGACGATAGCATGCAAAAATAAAGAGAATATTGGGATCAGAAAATAAATTTGAAATTAAAATAGCAATGAAATTATCATTAAGGTGCTTACACAGATGTAAGCTGTAAGCAAATAACTAGCTATGAATGAAAGAAAAGAGAAGTGAGGAAGGAAGGAAGGAAGGAAAAAGAGAATAAAATGAAAATTAAGTGTTGAAAGAAAATCTGATTAGGTATGTCAGGTCAATCACAAGTAAATGATGCGAAATTAATTTTCTCATATTGAGCCCTTTTGTGCGCTTTTATGGAAGGGCTGTTGTTGGATGAGGTTTAAAGGATTTGAAGGAGATTTAAATTTTATGAACTGATTTTTCACATTAACTTTATTTAAAAACATTTAAAAAAAATTTTAAACTCAAAATTGGTTTTTTAAATTTTTAAAAATTGAATTGTTAAATCTTTAAAAAAATTTAAAACTGAATTTTTAAAATTGAAATTTAACTTTTTCTTGGAAAATTGAATTTAAATTTTTTAACATTGAATTTAAATTTTTGAAATTGGAATTTAAAATTTTTAAAACTCAAGTTTTACAATTGAATCTATAAAAGTTTGTAAAATCGAATTAAATTTGAATTAAACTCAAATTCTTGAAATTTTTGAAATTAAAATTGAATTTAAATTTTTTAACATTGAATTGAATTCAAATTTTTGAAATTGGAATTTAAAATTTTTAAAACTCAAGTTTTAAAATTGAATCAATAAAAGTTTGTAAAATCGAATTAAATTTGAATTAAAATCGAATTCTTAAAATTTTTGCAAATTGAAATTTTATTAAAAAATTTTCTTTTCATTTTTGTCGTTTTTTAAATTTTGAATTTTAAATGATGTTTAAAAAATTAAAAATGAATAAAATTCCAATAACTCAATAATCCCCAATAAGAGCGTGTCCACTTCATCTTATATTCTTTAGCATATCCAATAAAATTACTCATTTCCACCTTTTCACTTCTCTTTCCTTCCTTCATTCACATCTAATTCCATTCAAATTCCAATCTTCAAACTCACCTTTTGAATTCACTTTTAATAATGGGGCCAAAAAGCGATCTGCTGACTTTATTAATCTTTTGAACCCGTTCCATTCGCATTTTTGCCGATTTACGTGGCGATGCCACCTGACTAACGCGCGTTAAGATTGAACATGAAAGTCGTCGTGTCATTGTTTTATTTTTTTTTATTTTAGATTTTATTATTTTCCCGTAAATTTGTGTTTAATGCTGCGTTTAAGTTGCTTTATGAACTAGAAACTCTTTTTTTTATTGCCGTTGATTCTGTTTTATTTTTATGTCCTTTCCATTTACGGTCTTTTTGACATGATAGGGCGAAACAAAAATGTTTAAGATAAATTGCCAATGCAATGATTCGTAACTCAAATTTCAAACTGTATTTATATTGTAAATTTTATCGACACTTTCAACTCTTTCAACAATGATTCAGTCACGCGGTATTTAAATGGATTTTTTTTTGTCAATTCCAGAAATGCAATCTAAATGCAAATTTCCACAATTATCTAGATGCCTATAAGGTTTTTTATGCTGGATTGTTATTCACTAATGGATCTATTAAAATTCACTCAAAAAATTTGTAATTTTCACTTTTGTCTGCATACGTAAAAATCATGCACTTTTTAGTAAATTGCTTTTTTTTTCCAATATTTGTATATTTTTCGGGTATTCTCGTTGTTCACAATATGATGATGTTAACACATGCCCGACACAATTCCGAATGAGTAGTTCTGACTATCTACCTGCATGTTTAAAGTTCTTTTTTTCGTTCAAAAATTTAAAAAGTATTTTAAAAAAGGAGAATGAGTAAGCAAGGAGAAGGGGAAGAGGGGAGAGAGAAAATTGAGAATTGAGAGACCCTTTGTGCAGTCGATTACATCATGAACTATAATAAAAGGGCCATAAAGAACGAAAGTTGAGTAAGAGAGAGAACGACGAGGGACAATAAAATGAAATTTTTTAAAGGGCTACAGTTGAAAGGTGTTTGGGTTGCGTGTTGAGCGCATTTGTATTGATGAAATCAATATTTATTTTAAAGTTAAGCTGCAAGGGCTAGATTGGGTCATCAATTTAGATCTAGTGATTCATTCTCTTTTTGACGTCCATCAAAAAGTGAGTTTAGAATTCCTCGCTTAAAGAACATCAAAACTAGGCTCCACCACAGTTAAATCGTTGATGATACAAGTGAGAAACCAGTAATAGAACCTAGTTGGGCTGTTTTAATCCTAAATTAGTCAAAAAGCCACGCCCCAAACAGTATTCTTTTTTACCTGACCCAAGCAGGTAATAAAAAATTTATTTTTTTTTGTTTTCAACAAGATTTTCCAAGATTTTGGATTCGAATAATTAAAAGCATATCATGGACAGGACAAACACTTGGCATTAGAATTTTTTTACCAATAGAATTAGTTTCTAGGGCGTCTCAAGATCAAGGGTGTCATAAAAAATTGCTAATGAGTTCTTCATTTTTGACCTTGCAGTACCATGAATCTAGTTATTCTACAATTTTATTTACAACTTGGAATCTCCTCTACCAATTTTTTATTCTAGTGCCCCGGGAGTGTTAAACACCAGTTTTTTTTTGCAATGAACAGACCCAATTCTCCCTAGCTTCGAATGTTGGACGTAATAATTAAATCATCCTTAGTGAGTCTTCAAGCTGACACAGAAATTGGCAAAGACAGTCATGTGGAAATATCTGATCATCGAGGTAGCCTTTAAATCAGTCAGAGTTAACATGATTACCTGTGTAAAGATCTCTTTATGAGTTGGTCATTAATGCTTTATTTTTACCATAATTGTGTTATATTCAAACGTTAAGCATTATAAAATATTTAAAGAGCTTCTTCATACTAAAGACAAACTGACCTCCGCTAATCCCAGCAACAGCTTAACTTTCTCAACATAAAATAAACTAAAAAAACGACAGAACAAAACTATCAAAAGAGAAGAAGGAATTTCTTTACAGTCATCAAAAAATAAGAAGAAGAAGTAAAAGGAATAAAGAATCCCATAAGATCATAAAAGCGACGTCATAGAGATGTGAAGTAATAAAAGGGATTTTATTTTTGTTCAGTCTTCATCGTCATTCCGATGAGAGAAAAATGCCAACTCAAAGGGTCTCAGTTGAGAGAATGAAGAGAAATAAGAAGAATGAGAATAAGACATGCCAATGACAATATAAAGGAATAAAACAAGTTTATTTTTACCTGACTGTTTCGCCTGATAGAGGCGATGGAATGAAAAGGAATGTCAAAATAGTTTACAGACAGACACTAAAGCCCTTTTAAAGTCATTGCACATGAAAAGGAGCAGCATGACATAAATGTAAAGCTTAATAATCGTAATTCCATGATAATACCTTGACATTATTCGTACTTCTTCATGTTCGGACTTGCACATTGTTTTGTCATGTGACGTCATGTGTCAGATTCCTTCAGGCAACAAGACTTCTTGTTCAGACTTGTTTCTTTTATTTTTTATTTTTGCATGACACATTACTCATTCATTTATTCACTATCGTTCTTGTTCTTTGTTCATGTCCGAAACTCTATTTTTGCTTAGAGACTTGTCTATTTCAGACTAAAGAAGACATGATGATGCAAGTTAATTTGCATGATCTGTCTCATTTGCATTGTGGCTTCTTCGAGAGATAAAATGAGTTTGAATAGATTAAATAGTTTTTTTTTCAGGAATCGATTTGTGATGGAGACTTAGACGCATTATTATTGATTGCTGTCTTCCTTATCACTTTTTGGTAAACAAATTATTTTTACGGCACTTTAATGATAATGATTTTGTGAAAGATTTATGGGTAGTTAATAGATTTCTTGTTTTATGATTTGCATGGATTTTTTGAAGACTTCAAGAAATTCGGGATCGATGACTAATGCCATATCCAAGAGTGTAGATAAGAGGAATCTTAAACCCTAGTTAATTTATCAGTCTGTTATCTTTACATATTTTGCCATATAAAGGAAGTATAGACGATACTAATAGTCATTTTAGAAATTAGTTCAACTCTTAAAAATCAACAGTTCTTCATCATTTCACCTGATCCTACTCACATCAAGCCTCGATACTTGATTAATATAGCTGATTTTGCTGATTCAAACATTTTCTCAGAAATAGATCATCTATTTAGATTGCTAGACCAATTTACATTGAAATCTATTCGTATGTTCGATTCCTACCAAATTGAAACCCTGATTCTCCCTGCTCCAACTAGAATATGATGTAATGTTACACACAGGGTTTCTAAGTGGACTGGTTCATCAAAATCGAACCGTTTCTATAAGACAAATTGCATAACTGCCTCTTATCACTTAGTATTCGGTCTACCATGTCTACTATTGTTACGGTTCTCCATGCAAATCACTTGAGATGGGCTAGACATGTGTTTAGATGTCCACAAGATGCCCAAGTACTTAGAGTGATTGCTGCAGACTTTATAGATGGCAACAGATCAAGTGCGATCATGGGTACGAGACTGGGCATGAGAAATTTTTCACTTGTCCTTTTTCGAATCATATGTACTGGAAATGAAACTCACATCCTACCTTTGTAGGCTACAGGCAGTAATGTCATCAAAGGAGTGGTTCGGATCCCACTATAAAATTGTAGGTCTAGGTTTGAGTGCAGTGGTTTGGCTCATCCTCACTCGTTAAACTCTCATTAGCTGCGAAACGCCCTAGCGCACCTCTGGATCACTATTGATCTGAATATGTAAAGGTTTTTTTTAAGAGATCTAGTAGAAGACAAAAGAATATCTAGATTGGATGTGTTGATAAGGGCAATGGGCCCACTAGGATGCCGTGTTCACATTATTAAAACTTGTTTCAGTCCGGTCCGGCTATCTGATTCTTAGTAGTTCTCAAAATCCAAAGTAATTCCAAAGAAATCACATCTTTAAACATACCAATAATCTTGAAAATTACAAAATAAGGACAACTGACTATTCTCAACCCATTTTCTTCCATCACTAATCCCAAAATAAAACAGATCTTCAAAAAAAAGTCGAAATATTTACAAACACATGTCAATACTTTTACTGGAAAATGCATCGATACCCTCTTGAAGACAATCCGATCACCCATCTCATTCGCATCACACATAAAAATATAGTTCATTGTCTACCATACTAAAAAAATGACATTTTTATGTCCTGAGTGTATAAAATTTTCAATAGACAATATACAAATCAATGTCATAGTCATAGACTTGAAATGAATTCATACATAAAACTTCTTGCCTTATTGCATTCTCTGGTTTCTATCTTTTAGCAGCAATGTAGGGCAATAATTTATGTGTTTAGAGAAAAATTATGCAATCTCTCCCCCTTTTTTGCATCTCCTCTTAGTCTGTGCTTTTGTATTTTAAAGATAGAATATTTCCCATAGCACAGGATGCATTCTTTCGGGTTGGGTAAGGAATTGAATGAAAAAAAATTCATTCATTTTAAAGGATTTTATTCAAAGGAATTGAAAATGCATCCTTGCTGGAGCTGGAGGAGGAGAGCTCTCGTCTTATTAGCATTCCATCAAGAGACTATTTTCAATATATATGGAATGAAGAGATATTTGGCATGCAATGTATGAATTTCTATTGGGATTGGGATTATTGAGGATGGATTGAAGATTTTTAAATGAATTTTACCTTAGCTGCAGGTGTGGATGGAGCGCATTTATGGTCAATCTAACAATAAATTGATTTGTTCTGATTTGACCTTCTGGGCTGATTTTCCCAAAGATTAAGCATTTGAACCCCCCTCTGCTTTAATAAGCTTTCCCTTACCCCTCCCAATCCTGCCGTTACCACAACTGCCAATTCCAACACTCAATAAAAATCCAAAGCAACCGCAACAAATCTTCCAGCTTACTCAAAAAGCCCCTGCCATGAGCAAACAACAGTCAGACAATCAAAAATTCAATACCCGCACATATTCGATTCCATTCAAAAAGAAAAGAAAAATCTGCTCAGCATAAATAGCAAATAGGAATCGAGAGAAGTTGAAAGATGAAAATGAAATTCCAATTTTTTTCCTATTTATTTGCAATCATCGAGAACTAATTTCTGATAAATGGGCCACCATTGGATGATAGAATGAAAAAGAATGAGTGTATCTACTCTTGAATATAAATGAATGTATTGAATGTTTGAGAAAGAAAGTCTTGCATGTAGCAACAGTAGCTGACTTGTGTCTCTTGTGGGGATTTTGGGTAAGGAGTTTGATGGGTGGGATAGTTTTGGAATTGAATGACTGAATTTAAGATTATTTGATCCAGTAAATAGTTTGTTGGAACCTTAGGATTTTAAACCTGGCTATGAAGATGTAGTTTACTATGGTTATGCCCAAACCTTTGTCACGAATGCCAAGCATCTGTGTCTAGCATTAACATGAACAAGATGCCTTAAACCATGACCAGAAAATAATCAAGAATATGCATGGACTTCA